CTCCGGCGGGCCCTAAACATGCGGGCACCTCCGCTGAGAACGGAGAGAGCGGCTGCGAGCCCCGGAACAAAAAACACGCGATGGAAGAGGGGGTGCCGGTGAATGCCCGCCTCGAACCCCGCTCTGCTGCGTGCTCCGGGAGCATCGGCTTCCATACCTCCACCTTCCCTCTTTCAAAAATAGGTCCATTCTACACACCCCGGCCAGCTTTATTTTCCCCACCTGGCAGTTGTCTAAGCAACAACACATTTTGCTAAGCCAGCATCCAGTCCTTCCATCACAGTGAACAGAATCAATAGATTTTCCAGTATTTCAGGTTTTTTTCCCAGTATTTTCCAAAATTTCCAGAAAAGAAAGCTCCACAGAGACCTTAGAGCAGCCTTCCAGTACTTAAATCTGGGGTCTGTACAGAAGCTAGGAAGGGACTCTTCATCAGGGAGGGTAGTGATGGTACGAGGGCCAACAATCTGGAACTGCGTATCATTTAGATATAGATTCTTTCCTAGACCAGGAAAAAATTCTTTGTGGTGAAGCACCAACTTGCAGGTTGCCCTAAAAGGTGGTAGAAGGCCCCTCCCTTAATGTGTTCAAAACTACATTGGGAGTGGGCTCTGAGCAACCTGGCCAAGAGGGAGGTGTCCTTGCCTGTGTCAGGGAGTTGGAAGTGGATGATGTTTAAGATCCCATCCAACCCCCAAGTTGCAGAATCAGAATGGTTTGGTTTTTCAGTATCAGCCCCACACTACACAGCTTCAATTTGACTGGAGCCCCAAAGCTATCACAATTGCTCCACACACAGCTGACCAGTACAACCAGCACCAGAACCAATCACTTTGGCAGGTGGCAGTCGTCCCAGCAGTACACGCTCTCCAGCGCCTTTGTAAGGGAGGACAATGCACCAGCAACAGTCTATCTTCTGGTCAGAGACAAGTCTTTCCAAGAGTTATTACACAAATCTATGGAAGGCTAAAAGGCATTGGGAAGGGACCCATGATTGGAACTGATGTTTAGCCAAACGTCAAAAAAAAAAACCTAGTGTTGACCTGTGATAGGACAAGGGGTAATGGGTGCAAATTGGAGCATAGGAGGTTCAAGGTGAATATTAGGAAAAATTTTTTTACTGTGAGAGTGCGGGGCCACTGGCACAGGCTGCCCAGAGAGGTTGTGGAGTCTCCTTCACTGGAGACATTCAAAACCCGCCTGGATGCCTTCCTGTGTGATGTACTCTAGGTGGTCCTGCTCTGGCAGGGGGGTTGGACGAGATGATCTTTCGAGGTCCCTTCCAACCCCTATGATTCTATGATTCTATGATATTTACTACCTGCAAGAAACATCATGGTGAAGAAACAGCAGTGTGAGTATCCCTTGAAGAATGACATAATACCCTGGGCTACCACAACAGCTCGGCCCAACATGGAACCACTTGTATATGGCACTGGCTAAACATTTCAACATGACCTGGATTCTGTCCTGTAGCTACAGAAAAATACACAAAATTCATGTCGCTTCTCATACTTCAGCTGGATCTTAAGCTAGTCCAAAAGAATTTGTCAGGTTGCTTTTTTTGGTGGTAGAGTCCCCATCTCTGGAGGGGTTCAAAAAACATGTCCCAAAGTATCACATCTACATGGTTTAGTGTTGGGTTGACAGTTGGACTTGATGGTCTTGGAGGTCTTTTCCAGCCTTAATGAGTGTGTGATTCTTAGGGGGCATATAGGGAAGAGATCCATGTCATATCTCCAAGGTTTGGACAAGCAGTAACACCTCCAGAGTGGTGCTGGGGAGCTTTGGACAAAGGCTACACTCTCCCCTAAGTACTCACAGTCCCTCAAAACAGCCCTTCTGTTTTCAACATTAAGACTCAATTGTATTACACCTACTTAGACTGTTTAATCTCTCTCTCCCTTGGACTAACTCCCTGCTTGGGGATGCAGATCAGAGCATCCAAATGGTCCCTGAAAGCCTTGGGTCATCCTCGTTTCCAAGACCTTCTGTTTTCCTGAAGGAAAGTAATAATTGTTAAAATATGTACCTAAAATTGGTGACAGGAAAACAAATTAAAAAAAAACAAAACAGCAAAAACCCAAATCCAAGACAAACAGAATCTTAACCACTTTGTTTAATGTTGTACAAAAAAAAAAACACACCAGGTGAGTATTACAACAAAAACTGATGAAAACATCAATAATCACATGGCCACCCCACTACCTAAACAGTTGAGAGTCACTTCTCTACCTATACAACAGAAAGTTCTGTGGCCTTCAGGAAAAGAATGACATAAAAAAACCCCTTGTGTCACACATCCTCTTTTCTCTACATTTTAAAGCTGTGCTCACAGAGACGGCTTCTTCTTCTATCAGACTTTGCAGGGACATGGGAAGTCAGTTGTAAATAAAGTTGAACCTAAAATTAAAAAGATTATCCTTGGTAAGGAATTGTCATTTTTTTAAGTGACATTTTTGAATGAATAAGCAAATGGTTTATTTCTGCTCCCGGTAAGCCTCCACCTGACATAACAAAAGGGGTATTTTTTAATAAGACAGCTTTATAGTACAGCAGGAAGTGTCATTTGTAACAGCCAACGCTACACATGACACAAGTCTCCTAAGGTCACAATAGAATCAATTACTAACATTTCACCTCTTGAGAGAGCTCCAAAGATATGAAAATCCCAGTGAGAGTCATGCTGCCCCATCAGCAACTCTTCCACAGATTTCCTGCTGGCAGGGCCAACCATATATACCCATGGGTAACCTATGGACACTTAAACAGAAGAGCTAATTCTTCTCAACCACATTTCACCACAACCAGTGTTCCTGCAGTGAAAGCAAGAGCCCATCCAGCTTCCAGATGTCCATCCTTTGGATCTGTCTTACTACAGAATCCCAGCATGGTGGGGTTGGAAGGGACCTTTGGAGATCACCTCATCCAACCCCCCTGCTCCAGCAGGTCACCCACAGCAGAGTGCCCAGGATGGCTTCCAGGCAGGTTTGGAATCTCTCCAGAGGAGACTCCACATCCTCTCTGGGCAGCCTGCTCCGGGCTCTGCCACGCTCACACCAAAGAAGTTTCTCCTCCTGCTCAGGTGGAACCTCCTGGGTTCCAGTTTGTGCTCGTTGCCCCTTGTCCTGTCACTGGGCACCACTGACAAGAGTCTGGACCCAGCCTCTTGCCCCCCAGGGGCCCTTTAGCCCTTGCACAGCATTGATCAGATCCCCTCTCAGGCTTCTCCTCTCCAGGCTCAACAGCCCCAGGGCTCTCACAGAGACACTTGTTGCCTCAGCAGCTTCCAGCCCTGTTATACTAGTACCGAACTGGCATTTGGCTGCTCAAGAGCCAGCGTTTTGCTGGTACTCTGCCGTCTTTGAAGTGTGTGGGGGGGAAGCCCCCATAGCTCCAACTGGCAAAACTGGGACTAGGTAGAGAAAAACTCAGCACAACAGAAGCCTGTTATGGGCAACAGCAGTGCTGACATTCTGCCAACAGACTCTTGTGAAAGCTGGCAGATGACAGAACAGCTTCCCCATGTAATAGGCTGTGTGCTGCCTGGTGTTCTTTAACATTTGCTGAAGTTACAGAAACCAGTGAGTCCAGTGAGCTCTGGAGAGCCAAGCTACAAGCCACTTCCAGCTAAAGCCAAAGAATGTGTACATTGGGAAAAGGAAGGAAAAAAGCAGCTGTCCCTCATTGGGACTTATAGCTGCAACCTTCTCCAGTTGCTTTCTGGAGAGCCTAGCCTTGCTGTAGTGTCCCACTGGGAATGCTTTCCCCAGAACTATAACACAAATAGCTCACAATATACCTGCTCAGAAGCTGAGGAAGGCTGGAAATAATGGGTCCATATCCTGGTGCATTGTCATAGAGCTCAAACAATGGTGCAGCAACCAGCTTGTAATTTTTGGGGACTGCAAACAGAGCTACAAATAAAAATGAGTTGATTAATAAGAAAAACCACCACACACTCAGCCAAGGTATCACCATCCTCCACACACCTCCAAACACAATCACTACACAAAGCACCAGAGAAGGTTTGTTAGTCCTCTTCTAGTTCCATACTGGGTTTATATACCGTACATAGGGCAACACAGGAGCAGAAATGAGCATTTACTGGGAACTCATGCTCAAAAGATCACCTTCTTCAAAAGTGATAGGTTTTTTTAAGTTATTTAGCCACCAACTACAAAGCGTATCAACACAAACTTGCTGCTCCATTTCCTTGCATGAAATTTAATCAGTTCGAAATTGTTATACACACAATCCTTGGCTGCAAACACTCACCCTTTTCTTGAAGCTGCACCAAGAAAAGCTTTTTGTGCTCTTTTGGTTTTGTAATATGAGCTGGGATATAAGGATACTGGAAGAAAAAGAACAAAAATTAGTTCCACAGAACTCTGAAATATTGTGCCATCTTAAGTCTTGCTGTATAAATTTATCAAGCACTGTGAAAGCTTTCAGCACGTTGTATGATTTTGTTGTGGCATCCAAAATAATGAAAGCCACATTTGCAGGAAAGCCCTCAGGAAAGAATGCTGTTGCTCTCCCAACTGTTGACAGGATCTAAAGAAGCTCCAGCACTCACGAGCAGTTAAAAGAACCTGACCAGACAAAAATGTGAAAGAGCAAACTGAGCAAGTGTGTTGAGGATTACAGCATTTAGACACAGGGCAGTGAGACCACATTATTCCCAGCACATTATTCCCAGGGAGTCTGTTCCACATGCAGCAGCACAAGTTTCCATTGTGGCTACAGCAGTAATTTGAATTTGGGCTGAGGTCAGTTGTATGAAGTTTAACAAAGCCAAGGGCCTTAGGTCACAACAAGCCCAGGCAACACTCCAGGCTTGGGGAAGAGTGGCTGGAAACTACCTGGCAGAAAAGGGCCTGGCGGTGTCAGTGTGTGCCCAGGTGGCCAAGAGGGCCACCAGCATCCTGGCCTGGATCAAAAAACATGTCCAGCAGGAGCAGGGAAGTGATCATGCCCCTGGACTCAGCACTGGAGAGGCCACAGCTTGAGCACTGGGCTCGATTTTGGGCACCACAGAATAAGAAAGGCTGGAGCAGGTCAAGAGAAGGGCAACAAAGCTGGTGAGGGTCTGGGGAACATGGCTTGTGAGGAGCAGCTGAGGGACCTTGGGGTGTTTAGTCTGGAGAAGAGGAGGCTCAGGGGAGACCTTATCGCTCTCTGCAACTCCCTGAAAGGAGGTTGGAGTGAGGTGGGGGTCGGGCTCTTCTCCCAGGTAACCAGTGATAGGATGAGAGGCAATGGGCTGAAGTTGCACCCAGGGAGGTTTCCATTGGATATTAGGAACAGCTTCTTTCCTGGCAGAGGGGTGAGGCATCGGCCCAGGCTGCTGCTGGAGTCCCCATCCCTGGAGGGGCTCAAAAAACATGTGCATGTGGCTCTTCAGGACATGGTTTAGTGATCAGGGTAGCGTTGGGTTGATGGTTGGAATTAATGATCTTCAAGATCTTTTCCAACTTTAATGCTTCTAGGATTCTGAATAGTGCTGACTGCGAGCTGTGACATCCTGGGGTTTCTCAGCCATCAGCACGGGTGTGAGGAGGGAGATGGGAGTTTCTAGAGAAGAAAACCCCCAAAACTTTTTGTTTTTCCTCAGTCACAGAAAGGAGATGAACTGGGTAGCAAAAGAGAAAAACTAATTGCTCGTGCAGCAGGTACTCAAAAAAGCCCAACTGGTAGGTTGAAGGCTTTGGGAAAAACAACCAGGGCTCGACTGAACGTGAAAGTCACCAGAAGTGCTCACCTGTGGAGGTTCAAAGTTTGGTCTCCACCAGTTCCCAATGCAGTCATCAATCACCCAGTCTTGCTGAACACCATCCTGACGGCCCAGTATCTACAAAAATCCAGTGACAGTCAAAACCCTAACCACCCTAAGACAATTTTGTTAGAAAACTTACTGGAAGCCTGAAGAGTGGCTGTAATAAGGGCCTGATGTAGTTCAGAACTGCTCTGGAACAGCTTTTCACAGATATTTACATTTATTTTTTAATAAAGCAGTGTTTTTTTAGTAAAAGCCTCACCTGACAGGACAAGGAGACTTTTTGAGAGCATTTCAAACTCCATGCTGTGTTCAACTGGACCGAGTCCCGTCAGAGCAACGGGCAGAATGAAATGCATCGTTACACTGCCTGGCAGAATTAACACAGGAGAGCAGGGAAGGTTAACTGGTGCCTCAGAAAGACCACCTCAAAGGCAGGTCCTCATCAACTGTGCTCCACAACACACTCTACTGTCCCTCTGCACGCTCCCTTGCATGGAGCCAGCCAAAAAGCCAAGCTGTGAATGAACACAGGACTTGAGCAGCAGGGAGGGAGTCAGCCATGAGACCACTGTCTTGCTCCAACAATCCAGATACCAAATAAAGCAGTAAATTTTTGTTTAACTATCTAAGAACATCACCAAAGCATCAAAGTAAGGGAAGCAATAAGGAGACTAATGCTTTGGCTTGTTAACTCAAAACCAGTACAACATTCCAATATAACAAGGAAAGAAAACAGACCTCTGTCATTAGGCGTTTGAGCCCTTCTACCTCATCTTCTCCTGGATTGAGTTCACCACCAGGTCTGTTAAAATAACCAATGATGAAAGCTGAAGTTACATTTTATTGCATTTACTAACTTTCACAGGTAAGTTTGGAGGTGCAAAGTCACTCAGAAGTTTCAAATCTAACAATGTTGAATTTGAAGACAGCAGGACAGCTTTCATCAAAACAGCGACTAAAACAGCTACTGGATGTCCCTTAAAAAAACAGCTACCAAATAGAATACTTCAACTCCAGCAGGACAAAGTATAATAAAATATATAAAATCGAGACACTTCAGAAGTAAAGTTTTAACCGTAACATAACAGCACCAAAAGTTGAACAAAGAGTTGTAAATACTAACCATACCTATGCTTATCTCAGAACCCGTGCTCACTGAAGCACACAGGATGCCGAAAATAAAACTCACGTGGAAAACCACCCTGCATTTGATGCAGGGTTAATAAAAAAAATAAAGTCATATTCTCATCATCATAAAGTTTTGCAAAACTTTGAGTCTAGCCTGTTTTGGCCACAAACATCACCCAAATAAGCATCTGGGTCTAAAATCAGATTTTGCACACACAGAAGACTGAGAACAAATAACCCAGTGATCCACCATAACAAAGGTTTGCAGTCAGTTCCAAAGTCACCCTGCTCCTTAGGACAGAGAAGCTTTTGCTTTTATGTCAAACAGACTTGATATAAAACCCCCGCAAGTTTTCCCAGACTACATCTTTGCAAGAAACAAACCCCATTCAAACCATCTACCAGTTAGCCACACTTTAACCTCTGGCTCGCACACTTAGCGGCCTGTGACAATAAAGCTGATGTCACGTTCAAGAAACAGTCACTTACAGCTTGAAAAAAGTGGTGCCCAGCTGCAGGAGGAGGACGTGGGGCAGCCTGTGCTCGTGGACGATGAGGACCCCTTCCACCGTGCGCCTCATGCCGATCTTGTCGAACTCCTCCCGCATGCGCTGGAAGCGCGCCGCCACGGAGCTGTCCTTCTCATAGAGCGGCTCCTTCGTGCCAAACGTGTAGTTCGTCAGAGGGTACCTAGGAGGGGAGAGAAAAGCCAAACCAGACACCTTACTGTGCAGCAAGAGATCTAAATTTCAATTGCTAGGAGGCAGCATCGACCCTGAGGCAACTCACTCCTAGCACTGAGGAGCTGGGCAGGAAAGGAAAGCTCTGCAGGGGAAGAAGGAAGGATGCTGCACGGGACAGCAGTGGTTTATTCTGCACAAGCAATGAAGAGCCTGAGAACTGAACTGTTAGAAGCGGTTTCGTTATGAAGCAGGAAATCAGACATCTGGATCACAGGAGAAACGCCCCAGGAGCCTGGGGTGGGATCGAGAGTTTCAGCAGATCGCTCTGCTGGGCTAAATGCTGGACCTCTGCATTCTCCTAGTGGAAACTTTGAGACATTTCTCCCATTAAGAGGCACTGAAGAGCCAAGAAGGAAAGGAAAGCTTAGGCAAGACATCAAACCCTCCTAGAGAGTGCAGAGGACAGCAGGAGGATGTTATTGTACAATGAAATCCAAGCAACGCGGACGTGATGGCGTGAGGCCTGGAGGGAAGGCAGGATCATCCAACCAGGTCAACGAGGGAGAAGAAAGTGGGTAGGGGACAGGGTAGCAGTGAGTTATCCCCACAGCTTTTTTGGTTAGTGGCACAGAGCGAAAGAGCTAACAGAGGAACCCAGTGATTTCAGGGAGGTCTTTCCTGAGACGCATCTTGTCGTGTACTCTTCCCCCAACACCTAATCTTATCAAACTTAAGTAGCACGCACTCTTCCTCTCCTCAAATTTTTCCTCCCCTCCAAATCTTCCTCATTTTCCAGCCAGCTGCAGTTGTTGGAGCCATTTTCCACGTACACAAGTGAGCCAGAAAAACCAGTTCCCTAACTGCAGATTCAGTTCTTCACAAGCTCCCCCACTTTCACTTGTCACCTAGATCCACCTCCATTTCTTGTTCCACTTATCTCCACGTTCAGATCCACAGACAGCTTTATTAACAAAGCTGTCTAAGGTGGGTACCTCAGCCACATCACATCCTTAGCCTAGACTTTAAAAAGAAATTATGCTGGTAGTGGAGCTTCCTGCCAAGTTTTTTATTGAGGAACACTATAAAGATATTCCAGTCTCTGAAGTTAATCCTTGAACTTCAACACAACTCTAACTGGGCTTAAATTCAGCCATACAAAAAAACTCAACTATGTATCCGTCTGGGATTAATAGCTACAGTTGAGTAAATTGAACACCGACTGTTAGAATTAACATTTGCTGTTCCTGCAGCTCTACAGATGTGCTACAGCAAAGAACACAGCCACCAGAGGTTACTGGAGGAAGCTAAAGCACGTGGCTTCTCATATGAAGTACAGAAATATTCATTAGCAAATTGTTTGTATTTATGGCATAAGTTTTCCCGGACAGCAACCTCCCTGAAATTGAAGCAGCCAGCCATCGAAGCCCATGCCCAGCTCACCACATCCTGCTGGCTGCCATAGGGCAAGACCACAGCCC